AGACTTGCAACATTGCATTGCATCGCATCGTGTTATAACAACGAACTTCGAATTTTTGGCTACATTCGTGGATTCTCGTGTGCGTCCGCATGTAGGATCCGATGTCAAATAGTTTCACCACCGTTTCATATCGTCTGCGTGCCAAAGAATATTTGCGATCAGACTTGCTAGAGTAAATTAGTCACGACATAATTTGAGAGTGTACAGGTAGCTTGGGAATACTGTAATATTTAAATCTCATCAATATTTCCTTGCCTTCTTTCTCTCTCTCCCTCCCTCCCTCTTTCTCCCTCTCTTTCTCTCTCTCTCTCTCTCTCTCTCTCTCTCTCTCTCTCTTGCCTTCTCGTTCTTTCTAGATATTGATTATTTCCATACCCCTGCTGCACAATATTAATGTTCTTTGCCGAAAAAAAGAATGTTGAGGTATATATATATATATATATCCATAAATCTATACCGATGTTTAAATATACTATATGCGACGTGCGTGCCGTTACACTTACTAGTGGGATATATTATACATCATTGATCACGATTCGACAGATCGACGGGCTGCTTTTTATCGATCATTATTGGAATTGTACTTTCGCTATCGATCACAATATTTCCGTTGTATTTTCATTATCTCGCGCGTAATTTGCATATCAGAAACGCGTATAAAATTGGAAGTAGATTCGAAATACGCTTGTACGCAGAGCGTAGATATAAGATGTATTTGCGTCTGCCAAATTGTTCGCCTATTGCTCTCACCGTTTTTTTAAACAGCTTGATATCTGGCACAAAAACCTGGCATAAAACTGCTCTGCAGCATATATCACATGATATATCTTTACTAAATGAGCAAATTACATTCTAAGAGGAAAATATATGAGAATATATATGAAATATATTAGAAAATGTATGAAAATATAAATCTACTAGGTTAACAGCTTACCATTCTGTTAACTGTCGTTCTGAGTTTTAAATAAACGAAAGTAGAATATAAAATTTCGATTCTTGAATTGTTAACAAATGATCATAATTACGATCATAATTACGCTATTGAATGTAACAATAGATTCATCTGTTGTAATTGTGGAGTTGACGAGCATTTGGCTTATCATCGGTTTAGCTAAATAAAATATTACAAGATACCTTAGCGAGAGAGAGTTTAAAACTTTACGCCGTTGAAAAGTTCCTTTTGCTTTCAACGAACATTAAAGTGTCGAATACTTTTATTGGTATAATCAATCAAACAGAAATGGGAAATATAATACCGCATTTCATAGTTGCGATGAAAAAAATAAATTAATGCCCTATAAATTTAATATTTGGAATTACTAAGAAATTCGTGATTGAATATTGCCAATATTTCAGTAATTATTTGGCTAGTGCTTAATTATAGATTATTGTGATTTTATTACGTTGTTATTGCAATATATTGTTTGAAGTAAATAAGATAGAAACAAATAAGACAAAATAAATTAATGCCTGATGTTTCCATTTAAATAATAAAGAAAAGTGTCCTCTCACGATTCCGATCCAGCGGTTATAACATATATCATTCTTTTTCTAACAGCAATCAGCATTGTTTTCTCTCAATAAATAAACGGCAATTGGTGACGCTACTGAGTTGTGATAATATCTTAGTAGGTTATAAAGTTATAAAATGTTTTTATATTCTTCAAAAAGTATAGTAATGACGACATATATTGAAAACAACGCAACAATAATCAATTTGCAATTAATATGATGTAGTCTCCATTGTACAACGAATAATATCAAATTACGCTATATACAATTTTTTAATTTTTTATTAAATATTATAATAAATTAAATCAAAGTAAGTTGGATTGAAAAAGAACATAGTATAAAATAATTCATAATAATCAGGGGAAAAATTATGTTGTCAAAAATTTATATGAATATTTATTTTCAAAATATTATTTATAATATTTGATAAATAAATAGGACTAAAATAAATTCCTGGACATTTCTAAGACTATAAAAGAAATGACGAATTATAAAATATATCGCAGAAAAATATTATAACAAATTTCATATTAATTGCTTCTAGGTACTAATCATTAATGCGAGACATTATTAACATTATTAAATTGTTTTAAAATACTAGCAGTCTTTATTTCAATAACCGTTATTTAGATACTTAAAATTATTAGTGACTAGTGATGAAATTATTGGATAACTAATTTATTACTAATCAACAAAGTAATATTTCTTTTGTAATAGCGTTTAATTATTACCACCTCTTGTTATAGTGTTTAATTATTGCCCACTTACGCTGAAATATTTATGATCACGAGTTCAGTAACTGAATCACTAGAATTTACGAATAACGTACTTTTAATATACAAAGTTGGTAATTAATTGTTAATTTAGCAGTATTAAATTTTTGTAATGATAAAATCAACGCCAATTACAAATTATTACGCATTTGTATGTTAGCAACTGCAAGCAAATCCACACATTACGTTTACTAACATTTACATCCTGATTACCCGTAACATCATTAACAACACCAACACAATTGAGAATATATCTCGTGCAAGTATAATTCCAGTCGGCCAATCCTATTATCCCGCATATTATCTTTACACAATCGGTTATATTACGTGTTCTTGAGGTACCTATATAACTTGTTGATCGATACCTCTATACGTTACTTTAAGTCACCATCTGGGTGATGTATCAGAATTCGAGAGACATAAATATAATTGTATATAAGTACTGTCTTCTCGCATATTGAACTTAGCCTCGACCCCAAGAACAATATTTTGTTCCTGTCTTGACTTTAAATCTATCCGACTGTCCTTCGTACAAGCTCGAAATAGCAGAGTTGTGAATGCCGAAATCTCAATAAGATTTGATATAATCATTCCTATACATAATAACTATAGCAAATAATAATTAATGGAATTACCGACGCGACATAATGATGTCTTTATTAAATGATAATGCATCTTACTTCAAAAACGAAATTGCAAAACGAACGAGTATTCAACAGAGCAAGAAAAATAAAATAAACATTGACCATTAATTAAAAAAGAAATATAAAGTACTTAGGAAACACATTTACGTCGAGAACAACATCAATCTCTCCTTCTCAATTTGTAATCTCTGTTTCTCATTTATAAACATGAAATAAAGGAAAAAGGAGTGTAACGAAGAAGAAGGGGAGTTACGGAGGGAGGGAGAGAGAATTATTAAAAGTTATACAGGATTTCCAATTTTAAATGAGCCAGGCAAAAATCTTGAAAAATATGAAAGATACTAAGGAACGTTTCAGGCAAAAGTTGTATGGTTTCAAAGGGAATATAAAACAACTATATCATTTTGTTTACAGATGGCGCCACTTTCGAGATATTCACTGATTATTACTTTTTTTAAATGGAAATCCCAATTTTTTATTATATCATTTTTTGTACCAATTAATTTGAACAACTTTTGTCTGAAATATTTTTTTAGTTGTCTAATATTTTTTTAAATATTTAAGGAAAATTTGATAATTTCTTCAACATTTAGCTTACGATATCTCGCTAACTATCGCTGTGATAACTCGCTATTTGTCGGAAAAAAAAGTGATACTAGACTGTTTTACTCTATTTGGTTTCAAGAATATATTGTTACAATAGTACCCTGACTTTTATTAACTTATCGACCTTTGAAAATTTCAAAATCATCAAATTAACAAAAGTCAGGTCGCTATTGTAATTACATATTTTTGAAACCAAATAGAGTAAAAATGTCTAGTACAATTTTTTTTTCGACAAATAGTTAGCGAGATATCGTAAGTTAAATATTGTAAAAGTTACCAAATTTTCCTTAAATATCTCAAAAAATGTTAGACAAGTAAAAAATTGTTTCAGACTAAAGTTGTTCAAATTAATTGGTAGAAAAAAATGATGTAATAAATAAATTGGGTTTCCATTTAAGAAAAGTAATGATCAATATGTCAATGATGAATATCTCGAAAGTGGCGCCATCTATAAACAAAATGATATAGTTGCTTTATGTCTTGAAACCATACAACTTTTGTCTAAAATATTTCTTAGTATCTTTCATATTCTTCGAGATTTTTGTCTGGTTCATTTAAAACGGGACACACTGTACGTTAAGACGAAATTTTTTTTGAGTGACGTTGAAAGGAGGAAAGCAGACCAAGGATTTTCAGAATGACATTGGTAAATAGATTATCAATTCCACCTCGGTTAACCCGACGTTGAAGTAATGTTGCTGACGTTGGGCGATAGTAGATAGGTGGAGAGGGAAAATTCCCTTAAGTATAAACATGACGACACAGAGAGGTAGAGAGAGGGAAATAGAGAGAAAGTGACACACATACACGTGCGTGCGCGCATCCGCAAAAGGAGAGAGAGAGAGAGAGAGAGAGAGAGAGAGAGAGAGAGAGAGAGAGAGAGAGAAAGAGAGAGAGAGACAGAGAGAGAGAGAGAGTTATTTAAAAGTACAATGATTTAAAAATGTCTTTATCAGTAAACCAGATTAATCATATTAATCATTTTACATTAAAAAATCTGTCTTTTTTTATATTAAATGTTTCATTAAAAGATCATGTTCTAATCATTTGTTTAAATCATATTGATAAAACATATATTGGAATCAATGTCCTATGTTCAAAACATGTATAAAATATCCATTTTAAACGAAATATTTCATAATAGCACTGAAATTGTACTTTACTCCTGGATTTTTGAGCAAATCAGACTGATGTATCTTCAATGAAAATTTAAATGTAGCTAACTATATTATTTCCTAATTTGTAACGTTGATTATCATTTTCACTCATGCTACACGATAAATATTATTTTTAGTGAATTGTCGATATGTCTCTTCCGTCAACTCATATTTACCGTTATATTATTATCAGCGAGAACTCCAGAAGCACAATTACCCATCTTGATCGCAAATGAAATTTCCCCACGCACGATTGTTAACGCAAGAAAATCGTATCGTAATTAGTAAGGTTATTTGTTTTTTCGCAGATGGTGATGGCAACTTGTGCATGCTGAGACGACAATGAAACGCTGAAGGACTTCCACTCGTGAAAGTGGATGAAGAGGGCCGAGCATGAGGATGACTGTTTGTAAGAGTTGAAGAGGAAAATATACACAACGAATAGCAACAGCCTGCTTCATCCACTGCGACCAGCCACATATCTCACATTAAGGTAGATTGACGATAGACATATATGCGAAACAATAGCGCATATAATAATAGTATGCGTAAAAACAGAAACCCTATATCTTTCTATTTTGAGGAAATACGTAACAAATGGTTTCTTTACGAATAACGGTGATTTTGTTCAATTTTTTTTTTATTGTTTTCATTACTTTTATTATTTTAGATAGGACTCGCAAGGCTCGGAATTTGAGTTTTAACCACTTGTCATTATCTGTCCTAGTGACACCGTCCGTTTTCGTTTCTCCCACGATTATACCGCATCGTCTATGTAACCTTGTCCCTTGCTTATTCCTTACCCCGCTCGGTCTTTCCGCTTTGCGTGATTCTTCGTACCGTCGTGATTCGTGCCACGACATGATTAAACAGCCTCGATGAAGTTGACCTCTTCTATTCTGGAACCCCCTGTTCCCTCCACCTCGCGACTGCCGCTCGACAACGGTCAAGTTCCTTTCTTGCGACATTAACTGCGTCAATAAGTTCGCCGATTTGATAGACACTCGCTAACAGGATCAAGTTCCTCCAAGATAATAAAGCGACAAGTGAGGAGAACGAAAAGAACATGCGTGAAATCATTCGAGGACACATACATCCCTTTTTATTTCTACGCTGGCCGTACCAATTAATCACATTAATTGTACAACACGTATGATCGAAAAACATCATGAGCGATGCCCAAGACACGTTTCAATTTTGATAATTTTGGTATCCTGCAAAGGTCTTCCAGACTTTCGTGAATCTTTGATATTATTTCTGATTTAGAAATTCACGTAGAGGTAAAACAAAGTGTCCAATGGCTGCACAAGCATATGTTAGTACGATGTTGCTTCCGACGACACATTGCGGCAAACAAAGAGGGGACGAGTTGAGATTTGTGAGGCCATACAAAGGGTAGAGCGTGACAAGCATGGCGTGAAAATGAGTCGCAGACTCTCAGAATGGAATGGGCTGATCCACAGTAGCTGTGTGTAGTATAGCTGACGTAGCTATAACGTTCCGTGCCGCAACGCCCCGTATTGATCGGACGACATCAGCTGTATGCTGTTGGTAACGTTCATACCACTGCACGTCTGCCGGTCTGACTACCATCGCCCACTACCACTGCTCGGTGTTCCCTTTTTCTTTCCCTGCCACAATGATGTCAATGTGTCACTGTTATAACGCTTCGGATCTGTGCGACGCATAGAAATTTATTCGATGCATAGAGGAGTAAAAACGCCTCTGTCTGCTTATATAGAAATTTTGCTTTCGCTTTCAGATTATATTTGTTTAAGTACGCATTGTAATCTGAAATGCAAATTTAAAAAGTTGCGGGCAAAAATATGCGTACATACATTTCGTGTGAGAATTGTCTTTACAAATAATGCTAATTAATTTACCCCCACAGTGGGATAAAGATACGATTCTGAATAAATAAAGAAATTTAACATCGAATGGAATTAGCGTTGTTTTGACTCGCATTAACTTTTTAGGAACTTCAGCAGATTTTCGTTAAATTATTTCATGTAGCTCGCAAAGCGATTAATAAAAGGGCCAGGAATTACGTTTCCATATTAAAGCTGATGCGGTCAATTATTATCGAGGTGTTGCTTTATAGTTATTCACATGGAAGCTTTCACTAATTTTATCACGTAAGTTCACCATAATTTCAGGATGATACTATGTGCACGCAACACCACGTTATGTTCGTATATTTGACCCTACGAGTGACGTCTCGTTCATATCTTCAATATTTAACGATTTAACACGTACTTAAGTGTATCGTAGCGAGTTTCGTATTCGAGATGACGTATGCAAGACGTATAGTTATTATTCCATGCGTACTCGTCGCTTGTATAATTTTCTTATGGTCATATACTGCCTCGTGAACTACTCCTGCTATGTCAATGTCTATACAGGATGTCCGATTTTAATTTATCACTTCTCGTAACTTTGCAGGGAGCGGCCGTAGGAAAAAATATTTCAGACAAAAGTTGTATGATTTCAAGAGAGACATAAAACAATTATATCATTTTGTTTACAAACGGTGCCACTTTCAAGATATTCACTGATTATTGCTTTTCTTAAATGGAAACCTCATTTTTTATTATATCATCTTTTTCTACTAATTAATTTTAATAACTTTTGTCTAAAACATTTTTCTCTACGACCGTTCTCTGCAAAGTTACGAAAGGTGATAAATTAAAATTAGACACCCTATATAGATGTTGCTCCCTATTCATAATAAAATATTAAAGAAGGAAAAAAGAAACAGAAATTTTTGCGCCGGATCAACAGCATTTATATCCTTGTTTATGTTCATAAGTTTATGTTATAGAAAATACAAAAAAGTTATCTATTTCCGCCATCCGAAAAAAGTAAAGTACGATAGAAATTTTATTTAAAATTTTATACAGTTTTTATAAAAGGAGGGTTTTACACTATTTTCACCTAGATTAATTATGTAATCTACAGCTCATTTCCTGCCATGTTCTGCGTAAGCAATTGGTAAAAATAGCTGTACTGTTTGATTAAAATGCACCGGTTGGAGAAGTGATAATTGCACACAGTTATGTGTTGTCGTCGAGTATGAATATGGTGTTGCCATCAATATTGGAATATGAGCTTTCGTCTCTAAGTGGATTGGTATAGCAATCTGGTTAAGTCAAGGCTTTTCTCATAGAAGTTGTCCGCGAAAATACTTTCACCAAAATAGGATTAGCTCGACCCGTTGGAATCATTTATAAAGCAGCGACAAATTATGTTTTCACTGCCATTCAAACTAACACATATATATGTGTTATGTATATGTACATGCAAGATAGCGCATGCGCATGTATGTACCATAAGTGTTAACTATATTTTCCGGATGTGATGCAATATATATTACATTATTTTCACGAAATAAGGGAAAACTTGACAATTATTCATTTCTTCATTTATCTTCTTCTGAAAGAAAATATTGTAGTTATTATTATAATTTATCAAAAATACACAGCATTCATTATTTAGCTCATAATTACAATTAAAACGGAACTATTATACAATATACCCGTTTTAGCAACATATCCCGTCCTTGATCTTTAAAAATCTTCATCATTCATAATAACTTCTATGCATCAAAAATATCTTTATAAAAATTTAGTACTGGGAATTACTAAGAAATTTATAATGATTGAATACTGCCAATATTTCAGTAATTATTTGGGCAGTATTTAATTATGCATTATTGTGAATTTATTATATTATTATTGCAAAATATTGTTTGAAGCGAATTAGATAGAAATAAATAAGATAAAATAAATCAATATTTGACATTTTCGTTTAATTTATAAAAAAAATGTGTCCTCTCATGATTTCGATTCACCGGTTATCATCTTTTCTTTAATCGTGACTAGCGTTGTTTTATTTGAATGAATGAACGGCAACTGAACTGGTGACGTTACTGAATCTTGATATCTTAATAGGATGTAATAGCTTATAAAATGTTCTTATAAAAGTTTCTTCAAAAAGTATAATATTGAAAAAAACATAGTAATGAAAAAAGAACATGATATAATACAATTCATAATAACTATGGGAAAAATGATGTATGTGTGCTTATCTTCCCCGTTATAAAAAAATTACATTGTTTTCGCAAATATTTACTTTCAAATTATTTATAATATTCGACAAATAAATCGAACTAAAGCAAATTGCTGGATATTTCTAAGATTCGATAGAAGAAACGGCATACTAAAAAATATATCGTAGGGAATTATAACAAATTCAACTATTAATGCTTTACTACTTCTACACTGCTTCTAGATACTAATTACTAATGTGAAACGTTATTAAATTATTCTAAAATATTAAAAATCTTTTGTTTTAATAATCGTTAGGTATTCAAAATCATTAATAGCTAGTGGTGAAAGTACTGAGCAATATTCATTTATTACTGACTAACCAATAATACTTTTCTATAATAATGTTTAATCATCTTAATATTTAACCATTTTAAACATTGAAATATTTAATGATTATAAACGCAGTAATTGAATTACTAGCACTTACTAACAATAGTATTTTTAATATACGAAAGAAATAATTAATCACAAACTTATCAGTATTAAATTTTTATAACGTATACGCTACATAGATTACATTTTGTTTTATCTCTAGGATCGTCTTTATGTTATTTTTACAATTTAACAATTTTTACAATTTAACAATTTTTTGTTTAAAATCGTCCTTATGTTGTCAGTCTTTTGTTCCACCAATATATTTTGTTTTATTAATATGTCACAATAATATATAGAAAAGATTATAAATGAGTATCATTTATTGACACGATATCGTGAACTTATCATTGGAAAACGCGTTGTTATAATAGCATTTTACGTAGAAGACTTGAGATAAACCTTTAATAAAAGGAACCTATTTTTTATAACCTTAATTTTAATACCTTAATTTTTATAACCTTAATTTAATAAAGGTTATTTTCCTAAGTAACATTTAGAAGATTTTAGCCATCGATTATTGCTTATTAAAAAATTTTGAAAATTTGATGTTTGCAATTATTCAGGTTAAGGAAGTTAGCTTTAATGATTTTAATTTTGACATATGTTCTGTAGGCATTTTACCAAATACTTTTCGAAAGATTTTGGTTATCGCTGATTATTTATTGTGAAAAGTTATAAACAAAAGAAATTTCATAAATACAATGTAGTTTTGCAGCGCTGTTAAATATTTTGGTTAATTTCCGCTGTTCGCATTTAGGTGGTTCTAGTTGCAAATTTGGTATAAACTGTGACAGCTGGAATTCATGCTATATTAAAGGTTTTTCAATAGAATTCAGTCCATTAAGGTTTGCTTTTGCAAGCAGTGATATTGTTTTTAAATCAATCCAAAATAGAACGCAATAAATTGTTTTTTCGATATGTTCTCCTCTATTACTTTGATATAAAAAAAAAACTGCAATTGCAGAAGACGCCGAACTATAAGCATTATTGTACCAAAATCAATCTTAAA